GTACATTCCCCCCTCCACACATGTGCTGGCTCTTTGGTGTGGTGCAGATGGGCCACCAGATTTACAGCCCTGGGTATGCCTTGATCTCCTTCTATACAATTGCTGGGTGCATAAGATCCTCCTTTGCAGTAGATTGTTCCCTTCTATATGTGAAGGGATGCAAAGATGAAGGAATAGAGCTAGTACATGCATCTCTTCTCCACCTCCTCATGAGTAGAACCTACGTACTTTCTTATGACCAAGCGGGTCTATGGTGTGGACCCTGAGTTGGTCAAGAATGTGTCACTGCGGTATTTTTGCAGGCATCGAACATGAGCATTTAGGCAATAAGGGGGGACCTGCCTCTTGACTACCTGCCTAATTTTTGGCAGGCCTTTTTTGGCTCAATCCACCCCAAGGATGCATCCCTCCTGACACAATGATAAATCCACCAGTTATCTAATTGAAAGCGAAACAATGTTCAGTGCTGACAGATGTCAGACCTGTGTGTGTGTGTGTGTGTGTGTGTGTGTGTAAATATAAACAAGTGAGCTGACACATTCTGCATGAGCAGAGAAGAGTTTTGGTGTTTCTGCATTCCCCTGTGTCTCTCAGACATAAGGATGCCAAGTTCCTAAACTGATAGAGGTACAGCAGCATCACAAAGTCTCATATGAGCTTACTCCTGTTTATTAAATATGCACAGCATGGTGAGTGCACAGAGATTTAATTCCTTAATAAATCAAATGCTCATATATGTAAATATTCCAACACTTTGAATATTTCTTAGCTTCTATGAAAGCTTTCAAATGTGAGCTACTTTTCATGAAGAACTCTCTGCCAGAATAGCCCCCCAAAAATTCGCTTAAAGTGCAGTAAGCTGATAGTTAGCTAAAACAGATAAATCCATTGTGAGTGGAATGAGCAAGGGCAGAAAGGGTGGGAAATGGAAGAGGACTCTCCAAACAGCTGATTAGCACTACAACTTGCTCTCTGGCTAGAGTAAGAGGTTCATCACCTGATTTTGCAGTCTTGGACTTCTCCAAGGTTGTGAAGATGAAGGTTCTGGTGGGACTCATCCTCAGAAGAGGATGACAGTGCTCTTTCTGGGACTGCCTTCTTCCAAGGAAAAAGGTGGTGCCTGTAAGGGCTGAGGGCCAGAGATTACATCAATATTGCCATTTTGAAAACCCTCATTAGGAGATGCTTCCCACAGAAGAAGACACTTTGGGCTTGTTGAGGCATTTAGAAGCTTTAGGAGTTGTTGTGGGCCAAAATGGTTGCTGTGGAGTGTGACGGTCACAAAGGATGGCTAATTTATCCAAGAAAGAGGGTTTGCAGCTATTTCCACATGAGGTTTTTAGGGTTCATTCCCTGCCTCAATTGTGGAATTTTACAAGGAGTTCAGACATTGGCTTCATTTTGCAATGTTCCCCCTGAATTCTAGCAGTTCCTCAGTCTTTTTAATCCTAGAAGGATATCTTTTAAGGAGGGAAAGATAGAGTTGCAGAAGGGCTTTTGACTGGTTGTACCTGCAGGCCTAAACCTGGAAGTACCCTAGAAGAAAAGGTTGGGTCAGAGGCCCAAATGGCAGATGAAGTTAAGAGACAATGTACCTCTTGTTAGAGAGCCATCTCTGCACATCTCTTTCAGAAGCACCATCCAAAACATTGGACATGAGTATCTCCCATTTGTCCTTTTCTTTTATGACTGTAGATGTGTGAATGCATACATGTAATAAGCCTCACATAGAACTTGCTTCTAAGTAGACCTAATGGAATTATGGTCTCTTCATCCTATCCACTCCACTCTTTCTTTCTCCAGCCTCCAAATTTCCAGTTTGCAAAGAATGAGAAGGTCCTTCCCAACCTTTAACTTTTCCTTGGCCTTGGTCATTCTCTTCTGCCAGCTTCCATCCAACATTCTTGCCTTCACTTACCTTAGAACTCCTGCCCTTGAAAGGACTGGAGGGGAAAGAGAAATAGCAAGGACCTGAAGGATTGAGAGAAAGGGGCCATAAGAGTAATGGCAGCTGATGGGCAAAATGAGCCAGGGAAAGTCTTGTGGTCACCTAATGCTCTCCCCTTTCCATAGTTCATGTAACACACACATCCATGAAGGCAGGAGCACTTGGATGATGGAATCAAACCATGTTGTACACGGTTCTACTAGGTCAGCAGCCTAGAATCCACCTCAGTCATCTGTCCAAGTTTAAGTCATCTGTCCAAGATTTGCACTGTATTGCTAACATCTGTGATTTCCAGCTAACCAGCTGACCTTTCTGTGAACACATTCAACATCCAAACAACACTCACAATTCTGCCATTTTTATTGTGTCAAATGTCTTTAATGTTGATTAGGATGCTTGCTCCACAGTTAACTTTTGGACTAATGTGCTGCTGTTTAAAGCTAAAACATAAGTGATGGTTAATATGACTAAACATGATTACAGCTGCAAGGATCCACATGGAACAAAATAACAAAGCTAATGAATGTTGAAGAATTCAGTTTTCTTGGATTTCAATGTTCCCCTTTTCTGAAGTCAGAGCAAACCATGAAACAAGATGAAAGTTTCAAGGCGGGTAATTTTTCAACCCTCCCAGGCAAGACTCCACATGAATCACAGTTTAAAACAGAGCTGTGTGTAGACTGCCAATATAAACCACAAAATATTTGTGAAAAACAATGCACTTGGGGGATTAAGACATTCATCTGAAAGGGAAACTTCCAAACAAGTGAAAAGTTGGAGGAATTGTATTAGAAGCACAGCCATCAGCTAGAAAGATAATCTATAAACAGCCCAACTCGACTGCATGCGGTTCCTTTAAAACTTTGCAAAGGAAGATAAAAACAGAGCAAGTGGACTGAGCAATGTGGAAGAAGCAAGAGGCACATGTGGTGGGGCAGAGGGAATAATCTCAGAAGTTCCCCAGAACTGCTAAAAGGGCAAAACTGAATATGGTCTGCTGAAATTATGGGTCAGACTGAGAGGAGATAGCCGGAAACACAGCATTGCCACATACTGTGCCAGCGGGAGCCCAACAAGTAATTATTTATTAGCAACAAAATGTCTGCCATTGGGTTTTTATGGGAGGAAGGCCTGCCCATTTCAGGGGGCTCTGGACTTGAACTGGGCCTGCTAAGGGCTCTCCTGGCTGTTTGAGTTGTTTAACCCATTGAAGATACCTAGCCTGTCAGTTTGATCGTGTGAACATTGATTAAAAATAGTCCACCGAGCAATCAACAAAATATAGCCATCTAAATTGTACATCAGAGATACTCATTGCCAGTAGAAAAAGGGTTCATCATGCTACCCTCAACAACCCCAGAACAACCCCAGAGATAAAGGTTATTTCACATATAATAAATCATTTCTCAGTGATATATTGCACATTGTTCTGTCTCTGGACTTTGCATATTGTAACCATTCCAATATATTTTAAAGCTTTCCTTAATTAATCTCACAGTTAAACAAATTAAGGCTTGTGGCTCTAAGGAGAATCAGGGCCCCCTGTGAGACAGGTTGCTAGTCTTGACTGAATTCACTGTGTTTTCTTCAGAACACCCTGGATGTTCTTCACGTGCAAATTCTCTCGGAAATCTAATTTTCAGCAACATTTGGTAAAATTCTAGCTGGGAATGGGTAGAATACTTCATCAGAACACTTCCTAGGCTTACTGAAATATTGTGCATTTCCCTCAAAATGTGTTGGATGTTTTGGCCAAGAAGGGATTCCAAGCTCACCTAACATTTTTCTTTAGTTAAACTCAGGTCTGGGTGATCTTAAATTGTTACCTGGAATGTGTAAGAGGTGAGTTGGCTGCAGTATCCGCCTCTTTGAGAACAGATTCCAGCATTCACATTGGGGCGAAATAGTTTTCATTTGGTCAACCTGAGGACAAGAACAGTCTATACTGTAGCCATGACATGAAATTAATGCATTTACATTGACTAATCCATAAAATGCTCTGGACTTTTCTAACAGGATTAATATCTCCTTAGGAAAAAGAAAAAGGGAAGGGCATGTTCTGATGCACTAACATTCCTTCTAAATCATGATCCCACAATACTCTTCTGACAGGATTGATGAGCTACCAAATTTGGCCATTTGTGGATATATAGCCATTTTGGTTTCACTGCCAGCATAATAATTGTTACTAGAAGAAAGGCTGATAATTTTACACATGGCAACTCCAGAACTGCATTGAAGATAAAAGTTATTTCACATGTAATAAATCACTTCCTAAGAATAGACTGCCCTTTTGTTCCACTTGTGGATTGATGTTGACTTTGTAACATTGCATATGGTAACCATTCTAATTCACCCAGTGAACACTATGCCTCTGTAGCACTTTGATTTCTGGCCTCCCACATTTGAAAACCCTCTTAGAAGTGTCTGCTGATGGATTACAGCCTTCCACTATCCCATTCACCACGTTCAGTTGTGCCGGCTTGATGGATGCTCTTTGGCCATATGTGGAAGCAGGGAATCAATCGGAGATTGCCTACTCTGGGTGGGAGCAGAAGCAGACCCTCAGCCCCTGCAGAGCCCAGTTTCTTAGCTGACTATTCCTTTCATGCACAAAAAGAGAGGTGGCATTGTGAGTTTGAACTGGGACGTTCCCTGCTCAGATATAATCTTTAGCCAACCTCCCTTCTGGGTGCCAATTTATGCATTTATCTGAACCTTTAGAGGCTTCATTCTCACTTAACAACCTTCAAGATCACCCACTACAATAATGTCCATAAAATAACAGCTCACAAAATTATAGAAACATAAGAATACATGGAAAAATAGCAAAAGACAGAGAGGGCAGTCATAAAACAAAGCAGCAGCCAAGAAGGTTGTTTACATTTTTAGTACTATCAGGTCAAACACAACCATTAAAAGCCTTGTGGAAAACAATGTTTAAGCTGGCCCTGGGGAACCCACAGCTTCTGAAGGGTGGGCAGAACCGATATATCCCAGCAGGCCCTTTCTCCCTGCCAGTCAAACCAGCTCTGTTTCGTTTTTGACTTAGAGGCCTGCAGCATCTCCTCATCCACTGGCTACAGTACAGCCCAGCTCAAGGAAAGCGCTGTGGTGGCAGCCAATCAAGACGGAGGCCCTGTGCCAGCCACATGTACAATTGCAGCATCTTCCTCTCCTAATGGTGAGTTACTATCATTCCCCCTTCCCCTTTCCAAGATGTCATCCTTATTACCCACACCCACACACACTTTGGGGTTGACTATCATCAACCGCACCAAGAAAAAGAAGACTGCAGGAACAGGATTTCAGTACTTCCACATGTATTATAAATTTCATTTATCATGATGAAGCCATTACTTCTGTTTGAATATCAGAGTTAAGCAAGATTGCTTTAAGTCAATGATACACTGGGAGAGATCACAAAGCCAGCTTCACAGAGAAGCATCATAGCCACGATGAAAATGCCATTCTGGAACTGTTACCTCTAGAGCAAAGTTTGGCGTGCTGCTAATCAACATTAGCAAGTAAAAGAATGTGATTGAAGATGGCTCACCTCAGGGCTGCAGCGACCTGCTTCCTGCCTGCAATTTGGGCTCTCCTGGGCCTGGTTTCCCATGGCCACGACACAAACAGGGTCCCCTTCTTGCTGCTGCATAGCAGGCATGCTGCAAATGGGAGCCCGCCATTTTCCCTACTACAAGAGTCAGAGCAGTTCTGGAAGTGGGGCAACCTGAATCAATATATGATCTTGTCCTAAGTAGCTAGAGTTGTTGGTCCTGGTGAAGGTAGCTCCGATGTTGATCAGTGAAGTTTAGTCATAATTGTTGTTATTCTGTTAATTGTATTGTTTCTCTTAGTTGTAAAAATAAATAATCCCACTTATTAAAAGGGGAGGAGATGAAAGCCATCTTCCCTGTCACCTGAGCACCGAGAATGGAGTCCATTGCATATCTCAGGGACAAGACAGCACCTGCGAGTGGAGGTGTCTTGCTAAATCCTCAGGTGTGTCCTGCCTCTGCCACACACCCAAAGGACGAGGCCAGTTCACAACCTGCTGTCTTCTTGATTCTGCATTCGCCTTCCCTACCAGGGGTGAGGAAGAAGGAAGTCTTGAAATCTGTTCTGAAACATTTCATGAAAATATATAAATTAACCTAGTTTAGGTTCTAGCTTTCATAAAGCTGCTCTTTCTCTCCTGTGCCAGTGCCCACCTGAAGCCAAATAAGGCAAGTCTTATTTTAAAACATTTAAACAATGTTCCAATGAAAGGAACATTGGGATGATTAAGGGCTGATGAGAAGAACCAAAAGGCACCTCCAGTTAAAATCTGTCTACTGCTGCTGCTCCATATCTATAAACAGGGATGGGGATTAGCTGGAAGTTTAGAATTATTTTAACCAGGGTTGGGTTCAGGGATGTCAAGAACTGCGAAGAGGCTTGCCTTTCTTTCCCTCTCCTGAACTGTAAGCAGAAAGACATTTTGCCCCCAGATATGCTCACAGACGCATGTAAGAAGATTCCATTTGCTTGGTGCCACATCGGGATGTTCACAGTTTTGCTCCTATGTCCTTAATCCAGGCTGAGTCCTGCTGAGGGAGCAAGCGCCTACCTCTGGCTGGCGCACACCTTTAAAAACCAGGCCGGTAGGTTCAAAGGAGACTTTTGGCACTGTCCCAAAGAGGGTTGTGTGACAGGCTTTTCTTCCATTCACATAAACTGCCAATGTCAGTGTCCACCTCACCCTCTCTCTGTCTAATTCACTTTCTTTCAGGGCTCCAGGGATTAGTGCTCGCTTTTCTGTAACTGCCAGCATGGCATAGGAAAGCACAGGGTGAAGTGGAAGAAAACGATACCAAAGCATCTTCCTGGGACACTGGGGCCATCCTTCATCATCAGAGCTGTCCTTGGAAGCGGCTGTTCTTCTGGCGACCCTTAGAAAGGCATACTGTGCCACTAAATGGAAAAACAACAATTATTTTCTGATGGATGGGCAAGATTACAGTATTTCTTATATTCACTTTTTATACCTTCAGATAAAATTCCCTGCTTGTTTCTTGCTCCTGGATGTGGCATCTACTTCAACCAGAAACCCTTTCATGAATCTTTTCAAATTTGGCTTGGAATGCCATTTTTGCTCTGCAGCTAAAGAGGTGGATTCCAATTTAGGGCTGCACTGAATGCTTTCAGGGAAAAAAAAACCATATAGGTGGGGGGACATTTTCAGAACATCCCTGTAAGGGTCACTGTTATTATTCATTTCACCTCTTCTTCACAGTGCTTTCCCCCCTCTTTTCCTATTGAAGGTGACTTTCTCTTGTCTAGAGTGATTTCAGGCAATCCGAGAGCAAACTGAACCCCCTTTTGCTATTTTTAACATGATTGTATAATCTCAGAATGTCCCTGGCCATCCCTTATCTGGTGGCATATTTTTCTTCCTAGGGTTTGGTATACCCATTATTCCATGTGCACTTAAGTAACACTTTGCTATGATATAGCTCATATAGATTAGCAAAAACAAAACAGTGTCCATTGCCTATTATTTCTTTCATTGATTTAACAATAGATTTCCAATACCACTTTATTTTAGGGTGCATCCAGAAAAAAATGAATAAATGCACCAGGACCAGAATGACATTTCCAGCATATCTTGCTATAATTCTTATTAATTTTGTAAAGCTTACTTGGTGATATATCCCACTGTATCATTAACTTAAACCAAATTTCTCTAATGTTGATATTCAGACAGAAGTAATGGCTTTGTAATGATAAATATTTCTAGGTTGCAATATGTGTGAAAGTATTGAAATCCTGTGTCTATAAACTTTTTTTTCCCTTTTGGTAGGGGCTCATTTAATTTCAACACAATATTGTCTACTTCAAATAATTTGTGTCTAGTAGTTCTGGAGATCGATTTTTCAGAATCTATTCCTCTCTCCTAACCCATTCCCTTTTACTAACCAGCTTTGCAAATATGTTCTCTCTCGAAGATATTCAAACCAAAGGGGACTCTCATCAAACATTTTATTTTTAATCATATCATATGATAGAACTTCAGCATTTCTAATGAGATCTTCGTATCAATTCCATAGTGCTTTCCACTCATTTATCAAAGTTACCTAGCCTCCTCATAGGATTGCATTCCATATTATCTGCTTCAGATGGAAGGGGAGCGTTAGCTGCCATCCATAGAACGTGGGACAAATCTACATCTATTTTAAAGAATAAAATTATTCTTTATTGCAACTGGAGGATCCATTTTTGTTGCCCAAAGGGTAGCTCAAAATCTGTATGGCCTTGCTGTAAGGGTCTGTTATAATCTTTACCAGTGTGATTGCGTAACTGTTTGGAGATGTACAATAAACAGCATTATGCTCCACATAAATTAGGCATATCTATACTGGTATTTACCATGTCAGGGAGTTCTCACATTTCCTCTTGGATGTGTTAGATACCAGCATATTTAGCAACAGAAAAATCCCTCGCACCTGAAACACCCTGCACTTTCCTGGGGTCAATCCAGCCATGGATGTTTCTTTGGTTAAAAATGAGAGGTGGCGCTGCTGTCCAGGCCAACTCACACCTGAATGACTCCTTGCCCCACCTGCCCTGTTGTCACGCTTGGTGGGGGGAAGGCCCTTCTCCAGAGTGGGAGAAGCACACCAAAGTGAAGGGCCTTCTTGAGCCCTACTCTGCCCCCTGATGGGTTTAGCCCAGGGCACTGCTTTCTGCTCCCACTGCTGCATATACTTCTGAGCCTTCAGCATTGGCAAGGGCTCTGTCCTCCATCTAGCTGTCAGATACGGGGACACATAAAAGACAAAAGTCCTGTAATGAAGGCAGAGTCATCAAGCACCCCTTGTCTGCTTGCCCATCGGAGGTATGAAATGAGATTCTCTTCCAGGGGGTCAGGAAGTGCAATGCTAAATCTTATTTCTCTCTCTTTGTTAAAGATCACAAATGTTTAATCCTAGGTATGTGCGGTTGAATGAAGGCTCTTGGGGAGTTTCTTTGACGTTGTTGGTAAGTCTGAAAGAAACATATTCTACAGGTGCATGCCATATTATTCATATCCTACTTGTCTGTCCTCAGCTGTGTACTGATGCAGAGGAATCTAAACATAACAAAAAAAAACATTGGAGGTTCCACACAAAGTAGCATTTAACATAATTATTTTCCTCATCCTGTGGCAAAATCCCAATATTTTATGTTGCCACAGGTGTTACATTTTCATGGTTGCTGCTTGTTCATGGCATGTGATCAAGGGAATGACTGCCAAGTTCCCAGCTAAGGCAGATTTACCTTCACAGTAGGAGACTGGACCCTTTAAGGCCGACTGATTGAGGCAAATTTTGCACATTATTAATACAGGTTGCTTATATGCGGAGAGAGGCGTGTCCAATCCTACTGTGACAAATGACCTAGATGAGCCTAATTCTTAAGGATTTTGCAGTAAGCCTCCCCTGTTAAAAGTAATGGAACTTCAAAGTGCTTAGCATGGGATGGATCCTGTGTCACCTATTACATGATGCCTGGTGTTGGACCTTTGGAGAATTCACAAGTTTGGTCCAGGTGCCAAGACAAAATATTTAAATATTTTGTGATTTTCTGAAGGAATGTATATGTGTTCTCTCTATCCAACATGTTTAGAATTCAGCCAACAGTATTTTGCAAAGCTCAAAGAAGCTTGCCTTTGACACAATCCTTTGTCTATTGTTATTTTTGCCTGTTTCTTTCGAATAGTGTGAATTATTTTTTTCACACCTCTGGCTGTCTGCCATAACCCTTGGTGCAGAATTCCCACAAGGTTATAGTGCAGAATGTGCATCCATTGTTGCTTTTATGTACAGAGTAAGGCAAATAATAGACAGAAGGATAGATAAAAGCCTGAGGATCCCTCACCTTTGATAGCAGCAAAGAGGAAAAAGTAGGACATGCAAGAGGAAAATTGTATTAGCTTCACCCAGACCATAAAACATCAAATGGAAGATATCATGGTGATGCCTATGATGGCAAGACTGTGAACACTTATCTCATATTATGACAAGTTTTGTCTTAGTTCCCTGGATGTTCATATGGCTGAGGGCAGAGTTGGAACAAGTAAGCAAAAGAGAATTAATTCTCTTTAGATCTCATTACAAAAGGAAGGAAGTGGCTAGATGTTAGAATGGAGTCTATGCCATTCCGACCCATGGCTTGGCTTCTGATGTATGTTGCTTGATTAATGGGAACCCAGTAACAGCTGGGAATACATGCCTTATGCTCCTCTCAGGGTTTGGGTGCCCTTGGGCCCTTCTTTACAGAGGGCATTTCTCTGTTTCACAGCACACTTTGAAAGGCTGCTCAGACCAAGTTGGGTTCAAAGAAAAGAAAAGAGAACCAGACACTGAAATGTAAACCTTGGACAGCAGAATGAGTTAACAGTCCTTTGTTTTGATGATGCATGACTGGCCACCCTCGTTAGGACGGGGGCTGAAGAATGTGCCAGAGGAGGGGAGGGTGTTCAAAGAGGCCATTTTGAATTTGACCAGAGGGGAAAGGAGAAATTTTGTAGCCGGCTGGCAAGAAGTAGCATTGGTAGGGTTGCTGTTACCTTTGAAGGCTGATGCTTAGACTGAAGCTTTTGGGGACCAGTACTGCTTGCATTACCAAAGGCATCATAAATATCTTTAGGAAATATGCCTTCTAGCAACTTTACTCCTTGGAGAAGTGGTGAATCCAGAAGCAATGTTCTGCATGAGCTGGGAGCTTATGCTGTATTGATGGATTAAGTAAGTGACAGTAAGTGTTTCTGGTAACACAAGAAGAAAAGAGAAAGTGCTTTGAATGAAGCACGTAACATTTTCACCTTACAGGCTGCTAGAGGGACAATAACAATATCACACTTGCAGAATATTTCTGGACAGTCACACAAGCACAATCTCCCATTCTTACTTTTCTTTTTAGTCTGTCCTTCCTCCTAGGGCATTGGTGAGATACAGGGTATTAATTGTTTCAGGCCAGTTGCTGTTGTGTTACCATTACTTCATAAGAAAGACATCTTGGTATTTCTCAAGGAACACTTTGCTGATTATCTCCAGTTCCATTCCCAGCCCTAACTATAGCCACCTTCCCAATCCACTAAGCTTCTGTTTGTTGCTTTCCCACTGAATCCCTCCCAAGATAAACTTCAAGAATTCAAATTATTACTGAATGCAACAAATGGTGGAACTGAGAAGTGTTTAAACCCGGTGCACCAGCACAATCATATTTGCAAGTGATTGTGAAATAAAAGGAGGAAGAGGAGTTCCACATAACTGGTTTGTTTTCTTCCTATAGTGTTGAAAATGGCAACCATTTTTAATTTATTTGCAGACTTATATTTGCTTGGTTTGCTGCTATTGACTTCATGTCTTTATGAGAAACAGCTTCACTTTTAATGTGAACACAAGGGAGCAGATAGAAAGTATTCTCAAATTGTAAATGCATTATATTTGCACATTACCCAACATTCTCCAGAAGTTTCAGTAGTTCCAAGCTCTGCCATACTAGGTTAGATCCCTGTAGGCTACACCCCAATTCTCTAGAATCTGGGGTGGGGGGTTATTTTCCCTCTTAAATTATTCCTTGTAGATTATATTCTAAAGTGTCCCTCATTTTCTTAATTTGGAGACTTTTGCAGATGCCCTACAGGGGAAGCACAGGGAGAAGATATGAGGAACCAGACAGTACCGGAACTAGCCCATGTGTACTGGTGGGGCAGATCCTGTTTCAGACACTAGTCCACCTACCTCAGAGATGGACATGAGGCTGCCAAGACCCCAGGAAGCTTCAGGGCTCCCTCTGCTGGTCTGTGACTTCCCATCACAGAAGTCCTGGTAGTTGCAGGATTACGACTTCAGTCTACTGCAGCTGCCAGGCTCTCATGAGCTCCACCTGGGAGCCCTGGGAGAAGAGCTGTATAGGAACTGGCTCTTCTCCCGAGAAGCTGCCTCTGCAACAGAGGCTTCCTGAGTGGCTAGAGTGTTTCTGGTTTGTGGACCCTCCAGCCTTCAAGATATCGGTTTCCCTCAGTTTGTCTTCCCGGATCCCTGACACCTGGCTTGTCTGACCCTGCTTGCTTCTTGAGTGGACTCGGTCTTGTGCCGTAGCTCCTGGCTCTGACCATCGGGCTGATTACCTGTGCCTTTGGACTGACCCTCGTGCCACATGCTGGTTGCCCGTGTCCCAGGGCTGCTGTCTGCTAGTCAGCCTGTGCTTCAGATGCTGGCAGTGGCCCTGGTGAGAGTGTCAGATCTTTTGACCATCGGCTGCTCGGCTTCCTCCTTAAGCTGTGAAGCCCAAAATCGGTCACAGGGCTCCAGAGGAGGCCTAACCAGTGCTTGTTTTACTCGTGCGTGTTCAGGCTTGGCACTGGAAGAGTTGCAGCAGGGCCTGGAATGATGGTGTTGGGGTCACTACCTGCCCTGAGAAGGACAACCCATCTCTGCTGGTCAGTCCACAGAGTCACCCTGTTTCCAGCACTGGCCAGAAAGTTGCTCCTGGGATGTCCATCCCAGAGCATGATGGAAAAGGTCGTTTGTTTTAAGGGTCTTTTGTGCATCGCTTTGTCTGAGGATGAGGCTCTTCACTCCTGCTAGTCCACACTTTGGGGAGCATGCCTGAGTCTGTGGGGGAGGCACAGAGCCACAGAACTCTGGGGGCAGAAGCCTTCTTGGTAGGCAAGTGTGGAGAGACGGTCAATCGGTGCAGTCCGTCGGGACCCAGGCCTGCCTTGCGGAGATGCCTGGCCAGGCTCTCAGCGGTCTCCGCCCCCACTGATTATACCTGTGTGGTGAACCAAGGCCAAGGGGATGCTCCGTGTGGAGCCCTGGTGACAGTGCTGTGACAAGCACCTCCGTCATTGGCATGGCAGGCCAGTGAGCTACGGTGGCTCCCACGCCTAAGAACATGGCAGTGGTGCCCACCCAGGCTATGGCAAGGTGGAGCTGTGGTAGCAGCATGAGCGGGCATCAGTGCCCTCTGCCTCAGGTAGCACTAACCCAGCTCAGGTGTGACAGGCTAACCCCCACCTGTGGGAGGACACGGGCATCGTTCAGCACCTGTCCTGGCTCAATGTGGGCCTGTGCAGAGGCCCTTTCAGGTGGTCCAGAGCTCACGTGTCAATAACTGTGTTGTGGAAGGAGCATACCCAGTTGGTAATAGATTCAACCCCCCCCCCCCAATTGACCCAGGCTGGCTTAGAACAAGCTGCCCTGGTTCTCCAATCTTTGGGAAATGGCTTGGCTTGTTTCCAGGATGGGCCAAATCTTTTTCTGAGACATGCATAGGACACATTTTGATCCCACAGCCAGTTCCTGAGCCAGAGAAGAATTTGGTGATGATACTTAACTTGCATTTGAGGCAGTGCCTAATTGGGTGTCAAGATTTACATTTCAGACCCTGAAAATATGACCTGTATAAGTAGTATTCAAGAAATGATGCACATTAAAGTGGTAAATAAATAAAAACATAAACCAAGGGTGAGTTTTTCCTGCTTACTCTTGTCCTCTATAATTGGCTGACCTCCAGAATTATACTATCCCATGAAATCTTGAGTGTTCTTTTTGTAGTTTTGATTGGCATTAGATAGTAACTTGTACTTAGACACACATGAGGATTAATCTGAATGAATTAATATGTGTATTTGCATATGTATATATCTTCCTTCCACTCTGTTCAAAAATAAATCAAGATTTGTGGAAGTTGGTCAGACTGATTAACAGCCCCCAATTAAATTATTCCCTAAATGAAAGAGCTTAACACATTTTAAATTCTTTGTTTAAGGACAGCATGGAAATGAGCACCATTTGCAAAGTCACCCAATGGGGGCGAGAATCAGGCCCTTTCTCAACCTCCCGGTAGGCACATATAAACCTCGGATAGATTCACAGCTTAGTTGTGAATTGCTGGTTTTTTTAAGGGTACAACTGTCTACACAACCTTTAAGAAATTTATAAGGAAGCATTTAAGCTGCATGTATCAAAAATAATAACATGTGATTACTTATATTAATGGGAATTTCATGCTACAGCGGTAATCCCACAAAGGAAATGTAAATTTTGAAGTTTACTCATGTGTGTCTGTTCTGCACAATTATGTAAAAGTCCCAGGCATGCAAAGATACGGACTTCCCCTACAATGTAAACTAGCTAAGGTAACAGCACAGTTGTCACATGCTGTTGAAAAATAGATATTGCAAAACCTCTCTAATGATAAAAGAAATATGCTTAAGCCAGCAATCTTGTACAGTCGCACAGTACTATTGCAGAGGTGTTGATATGAAATGCTACAACAGGGACCTACAACACTCATTCCTCTCCATGGCAGCCCGAACCAAGGCTGATGCTGCCGCAGTTGACCTGGTCGATAGTCTCCTCCACAGGGATTTAGGACTGGTTGCACACTGTCTTCAAGAAGGCCCAGAAAGCACGCCCGTTGCCAATATTTTGCCATTCAAGTTGGATGTCTCCACCCCCACGGTTTCATGGGACTTTAGAGGTCCCCCAGGTCTCTCTGTTGTCCCTCTGACTCCTTCTGCAGCAAAAGTGTCTTTTATAAATAGCTTTTGTTTGCGAATGAGGCTTGTAGCTCCTACTAGCCAATGATCTGTACTGTCGAACTCACATTCCAGGCCAACTTTTCCAATCCCTAGATAGAATTGTGGACTCTGCCATTCTGTCATGCACACATCTGTATTCCGTGCATTAAAGTGCACTTGCGGTAATCAACACTTCATCAAACCATAGTACAATGAGCATAATGTTCTCCAATTACCAGGAAGAATATGGGATGCTATTCTCCTCATGGGATTAGAATTGCAGATGCTACAAGTTTACTTATCCCTCACTACTTCTGTAGTTTTTCATCTCTTTGTAACTGAACAACTCAGAGTGATTTGTTACTTTCGACTGTATATGTAAGGAGGCAAGAATGATCTCCTGACAATTTTTGGAGATGAAAGCACATCTTAAAGTAATATATTCATGATTAGAGCAGGTCAGAGGGCAGGGTATTTATTTTTCTAGCATCTCAGACATTTCCTATTAGTGTCCATAAAAATGAAAAACATTCAACTTATGATTCCTTTTCATTTTTCCTCTTCTATCTCTGCACTTCTTTTTTGATTGAATAGGTCAGTAATGTAAACTGATAAACAGCAAGGAAACATAATCTGGGCATGAAGACTTTAATCAAGCACATCATTTCGGAATAGCCCCCAAGTTATAAAAGATGGTTGCGGGGGGGGGGGGGTGACTGAGTTATCCCTAGATGTCTCAGTTTATGTGCACACTTAAGTCTAGACACTGGGACAAAAGTTGCATTTTATACCAGATAAGGGCCTGCGAACCTCTTGGAATGTCTGCCTAATCTTCTCCAAACAATGTGAACTTCTGCTAAAAAATCTTGCAGATGCTCAAACACAAACATTCTCATTCACTATCTGGCCTTAGGTGACATTGAGTGCAACTTTAATGCACAGGAACCTGCTTCAGTTTTTGAAAGCCAGCCTTTCAAACCCTGCTTAGCTGTGAAACGCAATGAGAGTTCAGAAACTCCCTTGTGTCAGTTCAGGCTCCCTCAGAGATGTGTCATGATATCCAAGGCAGTTCCTCCGATATCCTTAGAGCAGAGGAAAGGTGGAATACCAGTGTGGCAGATAAAGGGAGGAGCCATTTCAGGGCTGGGGGCAAAGTGATTTTTAAGGCAGGAAAAGATTGATGGTGCAGTTGAAACGGCTTCTCTTGCATATCTTGAAGATGAAAATGCAGAGAAAGAAATGCATGCAAGGCTGTTTTCTCTTGCTCGTAGAATAAATTAAGGCAGGTGAAGTAGCTGTGTTAACCTTTCCTTAAGTCGCACTCAGTGGGATGCACGTGTGCACAACCTCTGCCTAAATTGTTCGTAACAGCGACCACTTGGTATAGAGCTGATGAGCACCTGTGAGGAACAGCCTCTCCCCAAGAATGACCAAGCCGAGGCAGCCTTCCTCCTGTGCCTGCATCCCCCAAGCTCAAATGTAATGGAGGAAAGGGGAACGTCCTCCTCAGAAGTTCTGGATGCTTTTGACTGGCTGAACTGTAGCACTTCATATCATATTTGGGGCGTCACATTTGACTGGGCACACAAAGGACAACCATTGTACAATCCTACACAAACAAAACTAGATTGTGTGTGTGTGTGTGTGTGTGTGTGAATTCTAGTCTGGTCTCCTCCTCCTTCCTGACGTCGTAGTTTTCCATGTATAGGGATGTGTCTATGTGTGGAAGGACATTGAGCCCTAAGCTTTTGCTCTAATGGTTTAATCCAATGCTCAAAAGAGCACCTCAATGAGTTCACCATTTTCCTCCAGTTGAGCATTTATAAAATTGCAGCCTTAAATGCTGCAGCTCAAAACCAGGCGTGTCAGCAAGTTTGCTCCAGGTTGCCAGCAAAATGCTTAAAGGAAGCATTGCGTCGAAACAGACTGATGCAACATTGATATTAAACAAAGCAGCATTGGGTACCGCGTATACAAAATTTTGGACATGGCTCTAGTTGAGTAACAAGGAAACAGATCATGTAATATTCACTTTGGGACTATTCTGAATCATTCCAGCCCCACCCCACAGATGCATGGCTCTGTGAAATGGTTGCAAAAGAACATGCGTCTTTCATAGCATGGCCTTTTCTCTTAACTCCCCATTAATTTGGGTTTTTAAAGCTTCAAGAGTGAATCAGATTGGAATAGATCTCTTTGGAATCTCTGCTGGGTGAGGAAACAAATATAAGTGTGCATACGTGTCCATACAGAGAGAGGAAGAGAAGAGACCGCACACCTGATTAGAAAGACATGCACCCAAGCTAGGCTGGGAAGCATCCATCAAGCCCCAAAGATAAAACAGAGAGTGTCGTGTGTCTTTGTTGTTGTGCTTTAATTCTGTTAATCGCCCTAGGTAAAGATTAGCTGCTGTTGTCAATTTAATTCAGCTTCAAACAAAGTAGCAAGGTCACTTCCCCCACCCTCTTTTTAGCAAACAGGATTGAGTTGTCATGTAGTCCTAATAGGCAGCACGGGGAATCATTAGTCCACCTCAGCTCTCTGACTGATGGGCATTTCATTTCAATCATCTGACTGAGCTCCAGCGGTCCAACACTATTGACACCATGTCAGGCCTGAAAGTAGATGCCTTAATCGCCTCAGACACTCTCTGCATTGATTTGACAAGTTGCTGTAATGACCTTCTTGGGTTTTTTTTCCCCTTCCCCTTTCTGAAGGATTACTGTTTACCCAGGGAGGTGCCTGGGACTGAACGCATCACATTGTCATGGAAACTATTATTGCTGCATCTCAATCCCATTAACGCCGTAGCGTGTGACATTGATATGAGACACTGAATATTTCAATGGAGTGCAGACCACTTCAGTAACACTAATCTCTCCCCATTAATCAGGCTGTACACCATCCACGGAGAGCTTCCCCTGTGGCTACACTGAGAGGAGGCATGTAAGTATATTGGTGGCTGCTATTGCAAGTGACGGTTACAGTCTTTGAAAAATATTTCCTGCATCAGTAAATTGAATTAGAAGATGTCGTTGGTTAGAATGTGCATTCCGTCTCCACATCTGCAAATAATGGCTGCAGCGAGCACACTGGTTTTATGGCTGTTTAGATTTTTGAAATTAGTCGTATGTTTTAAATGCAATGCACTCTGGGAGATCTTGCACTGGCTGGAGAAAAAATAATTAACTTTAAAAAATGGGACACATGCCATACTGGAAAGCATGCTTGTCCTCACTCTGAACATACCCTACGTAACCCAAAGTGGTCATTTCCAGCATATAAAACTCTCCAAATTCTTAGTCAATTGTGTCAACACAATGCTGCTTTCTCACATTAAGCTGTTTTAGGGGCAACCCAAAACTCATGTACTTCAGAGAGGATATGTGGAAGCTGTCAGTGTCTGTAACCAAGATAATTTCTGCTTCCCAGACCAATACGGGGCCCAGAACTTTGACCAACACTTTTCTGAATGCCAAAATGCAACTCTCAGCTTAAAAAGTGTACATGCGGATAAGCCTCTTAGGGAAAACTGAATGCCAAAATGCATAGCTAACTGGCACTTACTACAGAAATGAGCACATTGAGGAAAATTGCATAAAATGCATGTATATTGGGAAATGGCTTCTGAAAATAAATGCAAATTTTAATATTGGGAACTGATACTGAATTTGAATGCAATGGTCTTTTGACTGAATGCATGCAATACCGACAAAAAGAGGACATAGACTGATTTCTTTGTGCCTACATGAGAGTGAGTGCATCAACACTGAGACCAACTTCCAAAAAAAAAAAAAAAAAAATCATCTAATTACGCTGTTAATCTAATACTGATGAACAAAGCCTGGGGAACTTTATTGTTCTGGCAAAGTTTTCACGGTTTGCCTCAGAATGCCTACAGGTGCTTACGCCTTAGCAGGCCTTTCTACATTTTGCTCAAACATCATTTGTATGTTTCCTCCCCTCTTTCATTCATCTTAAACACAATTCAGTGGGAAAATTGCAGTGTGTGATCTTGTGTAACAGCACAGCAATTCCAGTGGGGCTTGTAGCACAGGTATTTCAATAGTCTGCAACTATTGTAAGGACAATGAACAGACCAGTTCAGCGTGGAGTGTGCAGGATTAGCTTCCAAGACCGTTCTACTAGCATGTTCCCCTCTGTGAAAACGGAGGCCCATCTATCTCCAAGCTTTGCTACACTGGCTACCACTGGCTTCATTCAGCTGGTTAGAGATGCGGAGAAAGTGCTTCAGTAGCATTTATGGCAAGCTCAGCTAATCTACACTTTCTGAACCAATACACACTGTTGAACTTAGAAAGGGCATAAATGACTCGGTTGCCAGCTGTAATGCAGGACAAATACTATTTCATCTGTCCTTCTCGTCAGGGCAGTGAGCACCACATGGGATATGTGAGGTTATCTTTTGGTTTTCCATTTTTCGTTTATCTTTTACTTTTTCCAAACTGGAGAGATTTTAAAAAAATGCCATTAATTGGAACTTAGTCGAAGTTTTTGCATTGAAATGTATTACATTTAACATGCAAATAACTGTGATTTAAGTGTTACTTGAATAACTGATGATGTCTATGTGCTAATCATTAAAATTGATTAGCTGAAACAAGTTATCAATCAACATGCTGAAACAAGTTATCAAAGCTTTGATCTGACTAGATCAAGTATGGCTGACTACAAGTTGACAGAGGATGCAGATATAAATTGGTAGTGGAATTGGTTGTTTTAGATGCAGATAGCAGAAAAGCTGTTGCCATTGTTTCTCCCAATGCTGAAAAGTCCTTTGATTGAATGTATGAGAAATTTATTTTTTGCAATGTTGAGAAGCCGTACTTTTTCAGTGGCATTCTTGAAATGGGTTCAAATTCTGTATTCCACTGTAAAATATAGAGTTATAATGAATAGGTTTCTCTCTGATTTTTTTCTTACTGAGGCAAGGTACTAGACTAGGAAGCTCACTTTTTCCTGTGATATGTATGCGCAAAACATTTGGCCTGTTCCGTAAGAGAAAATAGCAGTATTTGTGACTTTTGGTATAATTGTCTAGAATTTTAAAAAATATATCTTTACACTAATGATCCTTCACTGCTTAGTTGCAAATTTCAGCTGTCAGTTCCAGCTTTGATAGAGTTGATCATAACTTTTGGTCTTTTATCAAGCTATACAATTACCTTGTCAAAATCCAAGTTGTTGCCTATTGGAGACACAATTCCCCACAATATATTGGTAATCTGCCAGTTCTGATGTTGCCTAGACTATATCACCTAGCTGGGGATTCTTATTCCCAAAGATATACCTCCAATGATTACGTGAAGCTTTGACAAACAGGTTGCTGAGATGGCATGAGTTACACATAGATGGCCATCCTCAAATCTGAGTCTATGATGGAAAGTAAACACTTAAGGTGAACATCATACCCTGAATTATGTACATTTTATGTGAGATTCCTCTCTTTATACCTCGTCAATATTTTCAAAAACTGAATAGCTTGTTTCATAAATGTTATAGCCTTTATTCCACCATGAATATCTTTGAAAAATGCAGTTGTCAAAAGAGACTAGTTTTGCTTTCATTGATCTTGCTTTATATTGCTGGCCTTTTTTTTTTCTTGGAATCGCCATGTCTGGACCCTCTCTCCTAATGGATTGAACTTGGTCCTCACTATATAAAACAGAGAGGATGCCTCCTGCAGTTGCAACAGTAAGAGAGGTGGGGCATTCAGTGGCATGCCAACTGTAGTTCAATCCATTTTCTCATACCAGATTCAACCGAAGAGAAAACCCAAATGTAGACCCAAATGTTTAAGCACATTTTTACACTAGATCAATTAGTAGAAGTAGAAGAAGAAGGTGATTATGTTAATACTAGTTCCCCTCTACTTAACAGTACTCATCAGAAGTACTGTGTCCTGTTCTGGGTTCCACAGTTTAAGAAAGAAGACCAGAGGGAAAGAGTTCAAAGGAGGGCAACAAGGATGATCGGGGGCCTGCAAACAAAGCCCGTTGAGGAGAGATTGAAAGAATTAGGCATTGAAAGAGATAGGAGCTGGAATTGAAAGAGATATGATAGCAACCCACAAGTATGTGAAATGTCACACAGGAGGCCAGGATATCTTCTCCATCATTTCAGAGTGCAAGACAGTGGAATAATGGACTCAGGTGACAAGAAACCAGATTCAGACTGGATAACAGGAAGAACTTCCTGAGTGTTAGAGCAAGTAGGAAATGGAACCAAAGACCGAGGGAGGCGATGGGCTCTCCCACACTGAAGGCATTCAAGATGCAACTGGACAGCCATCTGAGAGGGATGATTTAACTGGTAATCCTGCACTGGGTTGGGGGTTGGACCTGATGGCCTTCTTGGCTCCTTCCAGCTCTACCGTTCTAGGATAACTTTTTCTCATTTTCCACTCTTGTTGCCAAATATGGTTTGCCTGTAACTCTGAACCACATTATATTCAGTTGAAGCATTTGTTAGAATCATATTTCAGCCCTGCAGCTTGCGCACATGGTGGGCATGTCGTGAGCCGAAGCCTACTGGAGCCGGGGTCAGACTAGATGGCCCAGGAGACCCCCCCTCTGACTGTTTCAGAGAGACACAGCTCTGTTTCTGTGTTTCTTTGCTGCTGCAAAGCCTCCTCCACTTTCAGCTGGTCAGACGTATCAGCCCACATGATGGCTGAATAAATGTTTACTATCACTAAACAAATGCGACAAATATGACATATTGGATCATTAGCAAGAATCAAATAATGAATTAAGTTGCCCTATTTTGACTGATGAATGGAATGTTGCATTAGCACCCATTTTTGAAGTGTCAGTGGAGCATAGGTTACCATCTTACTTAGCAAATATCTTGTTCCATGTTTACTGGATGGCTCAACATCTTTTCAGTAGAGACCTTGCTAAATTGGATAAATGCTGAAGGTTTGACATAGCAAATGCTTCCTTCACCTAGGTGTTTGCTTAACAACTGCCTGCTTTTGGGATGAGGTTTACTACAGATGGATTTTATAATAGGACCCTTTAATTTTAGGAATGTACATGTCCTAGTTAAGTATTTACCCACATCTAAATCAATGGAAGATCAATGTGAATAGATTTTCCATGCTCTAATGAAAGTTAAACACTGGAAGGATAAATGGCCATCCTGAGTAATGCAATGGAGTGAATATCTATTGCTCCTTTCAGTTTTTGAATGGATGACACCAGTGCAGGAATAGATACCTGGGTACACAGCCTGCCTTTGTTGAAATACTGTATATGCCTAACTACTTCTGGTAAGAGCAGAATATGTCCTTATATGCATGGGATACAGAATTGTAGGCACTCCATATGTATACTTAGCAACTGATGCATTGAACCTTTTTTTTTTTTTTTTACCTTTGGGTTTCTTATAACTTTTTGAAAATTCAGAGTAAACATTATTTTTTAAAAAGATCTTTCAGTTTTCACTTCCCCAAATTTTGTACTTTACTTCTCTGATTTAAAAATGCACATGAAAATGTCTGTCTTGGTTTGTCTGTGTTCTTGTGGAAAAATTTAAGTTCTGCACACTGTGAAACTGACAGAAATGGAAACATACAGCTTCAGCCATCCACAACCTTCCCTTCCTCAGTCCCAGCACAATGGACTCATTCTGCCAAATGTGGCTGTTTGTGGCACATGTTACACTGAGCAGGGAAGCTCCAATCGGTGAGTGTCACCCCGCTTCTCATTTTCCTAGCGCTAAGCTCATTTTGGCTGTGTTCTGTATCAGGAGAAAAGGTAGTGCAAAACAGGCATTGCTGTACACTTTCTCTAGCATGTATAATTTTTGCAAGTAATTCTTTCCTGATATAATGCATTTGGCACACATGATCCTGTAACAGATATTTTGTTTGCATGTTGCATTACTGTATGAAAGTTTTGTGGTCCAAAGGGGAGATTTCAGTATATGTTGGTAAGTCCATATATATGGGTAGAAATATATTTGAAGAGTGAGGTAGATGAAACCAGATTTATTTATTTACTTATTTACTTAAAGTTTTTCTATGCTGTCCCATTACTAAAAGTCTCTGTATGGCCTACAAAGGACAAAAACCCAAAAAACTAAGAACAAAAAACCTCAACACCACCAACACCAATATTCTGCTCTTCAAGAATTAATGTGCACCTATAACTGTAGTGTAAAAGTGTCTCTCTCACACACACAAACACACACACACACACACACACACACACACACACAATCTGACACTTCTTGGTACGATGAAGCCAAGCTAGACTAAATGAAGACTAAAACCCTATAAACTCCTGGATGCACATGCCTCCATTCTACTACATGCTGTGAATCCTCTACTCTCATGAGCTTGTTTGAATTCCATTACAGATTCCATTCCATTCCATTAACAAAGGCTTGCAAAAATGATGCAGAATAGATCTTCCCTTCTTTTTAGTAGTTTCAGGGTCAGCATGAGGTTCCTCCACGAAAGAGACCTAGGTGTCCAAAAATAAAAATGCCCCTCTTCTTAAGAGTCAGAAGCAGCATCCAGACAGGGACCTGGGCATGTGGTTAAGGAGGTCATTTGCCCCTTGCTGCTGTCTCCATCTGGACTGCTCCACCATACCTTGCTAGCTGTGCTGAACCAGGACTCACCATCAGGCTTTGAGGTGCCTTCTACCTGTAACTTGGCCACTGTTCTTGTACAGGTGTAGGGGCAGTGCCCCTTCCTCCAAACCCGTGGGCCTTTGATGATGCCGCGAAGGAGCAAGAGCACCTTCTGCCACAAGTGCCAGGAAGTCCTCTGAGGAAACTGGAACTGCCTTTGATGGATCCATAGCTGAACAGTCAACCCTGTGTGAAGAATGGCAACCAAACAAGCACCATGGGGTGTCACTGCGGGCAGATCTGAATGCAGTCTGTGCCTCAGAAGTTCCTAAGAAGTGCATGAAACTCCACTCCAGTCGCAGGATGGAATGAAAGACTCTTCTTTCACTGGCATCCTCTCCTCTGCCATGTTGGAGCTCCCCTTTGAATGTTGCCTCAAAGCTGCACATGCCAATAACTTAAAGTAACATCTGTCTCATGGATGCAAAGAGCATGTCTACTTGGCACTCTGACTTAGTGCAATGGTGCCCCAGCTGTCACCTTGTTCAACTTGTCCAAGCACTGTGGCATTTTCCACAGAAGATGTTTCTCAGGCTAAGAACAGGGCACTTCGGTTTAAGCACAGGGCACAGAATATGCATTCTTTGCCCAAAATCAAATGCCCCTGAGTGCAGTGAATATATGTCCCCGCTGTGCCCACCACCCTTAAACCATCAGGTCTCTCTTCAGCATGATCGGTGGTCTTTCTTGGTTCACAAAGAACCCAAATGGTGCTGGTTTCTCCGGAGGTCCACAAGGAGCATCTGGTCCTGCAAAATCAAAGGTGGAGCTTTGTGCCACGGGAAAACCACAGAAAATAAGCAGAAACTCAACTGCCCAAGCCCTTGAGATCATTCCCTATTCCTCTTGTGTCATTATACACTTAAAGGCTTATTAAAAATACAGCCCCTAGGTTGCCTAGGAAAAAATTAAGATGCATAAACAAATATAATTAATAGTGTGCTACATTCATTTAATTCATCTGGGGTTAACCTCATGCATTTAAAAATATGTTTGTGTGCATATTTCATGTGCAGCCGAAGTTGTGTGTTGATACACATGATGCTAGAAAAGAGATGACAGGAATATGTGCGACGTTCAGATAGATCATATAGAGACTTGGCTAAATATATATTAAGATGACAAGACTCCAACTGCGATGCACACTAAAACTGCGAACAGACAGTATGTTGTCGGTTGTCTCCACAGTGCCTCACCAGTGATTCAAATTAAGGAGCAATGCAGGATTATGGCACGTCAGTTTAAATTGCAACGTATTTTGCCAATATGCATGGGCATAATTGAAGATCACCTATCTGGCATCAGCATGTTATTGTTATAGTATATTTAGCCAAGAGAAATACAGCATGCAAAGAAGAACAGTAGCAAATGGCATCCAAATTAGGACGGGAACAAGCCTGACTAGTGCCTCGAATTAAAGCCTCCGGGGCTAGCAGGGAACGTGCAAGCAACAGCCGCTTCCCATCTTGCCTTGTTCTGCCCTTTTCTGAGCGGAACTGGCTGCTTTCTGTTCGAATTGAATCTTGCCTGGATCTGCTCAACAGCAATGCAGCGTCTAATTAGAATGAAATCAACTCACGGCTGGCTTCTGTGACCACCTGTCTGAAGGGTTTTCAGAAGTTTGGGATTGCTAGCTGCAGGATACGGAAGACTAGCCTCAGCCAGTCAGTGGCTCCAGGACACCCCTTTTGACCTTCTTGGTCCCCAGGAGCACCCAAGCACTGGCTGGGAAATTCACGAGCTTCAGGTTCATGGAATCATTTTCGGGGGCAACAGAGCAGGCAAGAAGAGAAGAAAAGAACCCCTGAAGGGGAGTGGTGACTCACATAATATTTGCATATGCTACTATTGAGATAGAGATGTGAATCCAGAAACAATTGCCATAATTTGCATAGAAATGCAATATGGGGGGGATCGTGAGCTGGCCACACAGCCACCTCTTTGGGTTGAGGGGCAATTTCAGGAGCCACATTCCACCTTCTCCATGGGATTCTTTATCTTCAGCTCCAGGACCAGTTGGACTTGAGGAGACCTTCAACACAAGACTTCCCCCTGACAACCCATCAAGGACAGGCGTGTCCTCTGTGAAGGGAGACCCATTGCATGAAGGGAGCACCTTGCATTCTCTAGAGATAAGACACAGATGCCGGGGAAAAGCAGCATTGGGTCCTGGCCGCTTTCTCCCCTCCCTGGGAGTGGCTGCTTCCCTACAATCTCCTGTGGAGCATGTACTTCATGTCAGCAACTAATGCACAAGCATTTAAATGCCATCAGAGCGTCAGGTTTTTGCACCTGAAAAAAGACCTGGAGTCCAACATGGAGGAAGGACATGTGGTTACTGCCAGCTTTCCTGAAAGACTGCTAAACTCTGCATGCTTGGACAGAGGCAGGGTTGGAGAGCCATGGAAGACTGAATGGTTTTCATGGCTGAGCCATAATGGCCTACATTTCTGCTGCCCAGAACCACCTTCTCAGTAAAAAATGGATGGCTCACCTTTATACTAAAGTCAGGATCCCACATCACAATGGTCCCCACAGCATATTCAATGGAGCCACCACTGCACAAGGACTGGTGGTCAGTATGAGCAGCAGCAGACCCCTGGATACTTCTCCTGCTGCCTGGCAAGGTAACCAATGCCTCCTCAACATACAATGTTTGAGCAACAAAAATTCTCCCTGGCAGCTGCGACTGCCTCTGGCTGCCCCCGTTTTCTGTTCTTCTGAATGCCTCTGTCTCACATGTGGGTCAGAACATTCCTGGGGAATGGGCAGCAGGAAGCAGCGGGCCCGTGTTCATCGGGACACACCAGATTTGATGGTGGTGCATAGCACAGTTTCTAAGCTTGCCAAATGAATCTTCAAAACGACTTGCTTTTGCTCTGTGAGAACTAACAGGAACAACAACACAAAAGCAATGGCATTTTCTTTGCAGTTGGTGTGTTTTCCTTTGTGGGTGTAATACACATAATTTAAATGTTTGGCCTAACGTAAGAAGTATATGGACCCAAACTGATCACACACCTTTTTTTCCCCCAAACCCACTTATGGCACAGCTTTTATTTGTAACTTCTCCAGTATCTGCAGCCCCGTTGCCTCCATCCTAGGTGCATTCAAGCCTCCACACACTGCCTCTTGGATTCGGGGAGATGGCGTGAGGACGCCAATGTGGTGTGCTGGTGTGAGTGCTGAACTGGGGATCCAGGTTCTAGTTTCCATTCAGCCATGGATCTCACTGGGAACTTTGGGCCAGTCACTCACTTTTATCAGAACCTACCTCACCGGGTTGTTGCACTGAGGAGACATAAAGCGCAGGATGACTATGTGAGCTGCTCTGGGTTCCTTGCAGGAGGAAAAAAGGTGGGACATTTGCAATGCAACAAATGCGCTGCAGTAATGATGAGGAGGTCAGTGACGGTGGCAGAGCTTTCCATCGCTGCAACAGGGAAGTCTCCGCCTTTGGATCTTTCTCTGCATGCCCCTGGAGTGGGAGCTGAAGCTTCCTGCAACCCATCAGGGTTGCTCCCTAAATGCAATATTCGGTACATATCTGTGCATGGACATTTTGCATAAGGGATTTGTATTTTGATTTTTGGATTCACAAGCTGAAGTTATGAAGCAAAAGTTCAAGCAATCGTTGAACTTTCTGCTTGATGATTCTACTCAATGCACACATAATCTGATCACATCTGATACATTTAAAATATGTAATTGCCCATAGGCTGGTACAGATTGTTCTTTGGAGTGTGGGTTTATTATGTTATGATATTCTGTTGCCTGTATTCAAAAATACTGCACTCCATGGCCAAGTAGAGTTTTACATTTATCCCCTCCAGATACAAAAGAGAGTGAACTGTTAAAGGGGTTGGTATTATCTAGGAAATGATGCTGAAGATCATGTTTACTATTTACTAGCTCTGGACATTCTACCGATGGGTGGACTTACTCCAAATAAACTAATTCTTTACTCAGGAAGCCATGAATTCCTCCACATGGATTCAGGCAAGAACCTTCCTTTAATATGGAATTTCATGCCATGGTCATGAAAATCTGCACATGAAGAACCTCAACCTGCATCCTTGGAGGCAGTTTAGAATTGCATCATCCCTGCATGATGCAGGCTTTCCCGATGGGTTGATTCTGCATGGCCCGCCTGCACAACAAGATTGGTATTGTTGTTATCTTTGTCAGTTGCAGGATATGGAAGAGAGAAGAGGATGGATCCTCAGAGTCCTCCTCCTCCTTGTGCAACCAGAGCCATGGAGATGACAAAGACAAGGGAATAATGGATGGATGAGCCTAGTGCAGTCATGGTAAGTCAACCAACTGACACAGAAATGCTGTCCAGATGCATATTCTGAAGTTCTCAAACAATTCCAAATTTAATAATAAATATACAACAACTGATAATAGTATAATAGTAAATATACAACTGACTGCAGCAGTCAGGGCCCTTACGAGTGGCACCTGGGGAGGGGCTATAAGCACTAGCTCTTCCCTCCAGAAGCTGCCTCAATGATGAAGGTTTCTTGGCCCTTCTTGCTCTGGCCCCTGCATCCCTGAGCTCTTCTCC